GACCCAGCTCACAACCAGATGGTGATCAGTTGACAGCTCTGCCCCTCTCTTTACCCGAGTGTCCAGAACATGCGGCCTCAGATCAGACGATACGATTACAAAACCGATCATTGATCTTTGGCCTAGGGTGCTCTGGTACCACGTACACTTATGAACATCCTTATGTTCGAACATGGTGTTTGTTATGGACAATCCGTGACTAGCACAGAAGTCCAGTAACAAACACCCGCTCGGGTTCAGATCAGGGAGGCCATTCCTCCCAATCACGCCTCTCCAGTTATCTCCATTGTCGCCCACGTGCGCATTGAAGTCTCCCAGTAGGACTATGGAGTCCCCTACTGGAGCCCCATGTAGGACTCCATTCAGGGTCTCCAAAAAGGCTGAATACTCTGAGCTGCTGTTTGGTGCATATGCACAGACAACAGTCAGAGTTTTCCCCCCCACCACCCGAAGGCGTAGGGAGGCGACCCTTTTGTCCACTGGGGTAAACTCCAATGTAGCAGCACTCAGCCGGGGACTTATGAGTATCCCCACACCCGCCTGGCGCCTCACACCATGGGCCACTCCGGAGTAGAATAGAGTCCACCCCCTATCCAGGAGTGTGGTTCCAGTGCCGAGGCTGTGCGTAGAGGTAAGCCCCACCAGATCCAACTGATACACTCCACCTCCCGCACAAGCTCCGGCTCCTTCCCCCCCAGAGAGGTTACGTTCCACGTCCCCAGAGCCAGCATCTGCCGCCCAGGTCTGTTCCGTCTAGACCCCCCACTGTCACTGCCACCCTTGTAGCAGCGCACCCGACCCCATCGGTTTCCTCCACAGGTGGTGAGCCCATGGGGAGTAGAGTGTTGGGCTGCCGCGTCACTCCTTCGGGCTGTGCCCGGCCGGGCTCCGCGGTAAACCCGGCCACCAGACGCTCGCTGTCGGGCCCTCCATCTGGGCCTGGCTCCAAATGGGGGCCCCGGGCTTCCTCCGGGCCGGGTAACTCCTTCCCTCTTCCGTTTTTTCATGGGGGTCTTGAACCATTCTTAGTCTGGCCCCTCGCCTTAGACCACTTTGCCAAGGGTAACCCTACCAGGAGCACAAGGCTCCCGACAACACAGCCCTCAGGTTCATAGGGACACACAAACCTCTCCACCACGATAAGGTGACGGTTCCCAGAGATACATTAATCAAGAGAAAATGTATTTTCCAGGTAAATTAAGACATCATTTACAAACCCTCCGCCCATTATTCGATTTCCGGGGGGGAATTTTTTACTTGAGACAATGTAATAGGTGACAATTCTACTACTGCACGTTTACCTCATATTTTACTAATTAATGCCAAATTAATGTGAGCTATTACCAGCTAGTACCATTACTGTGTATTTTGTCCTGTCAGTCAGTATGCATGTTTGCTTGCTTGTGTGTCCGCTCATTCATCCATCTGTCCAATCATGCGTCTGTCTGGTGCTCGGCTCCTGGCAACCACTAGCCCCGCGGTGCCCTTAGATAAACACAGCTGCTCCCCTGCGCCTGCAGACACTGACAAGATTTTATCAGCTGCACTTAAAATGCCTGACTGTGTAAGTATAAAGTGAGGTGCCATGACCCTACTGATGAGGAGGCTGACGAGATGATGAAGGAGAGAAGAGCAGATGTATGGAAGATAAATAATTAGTGGGGACATGGCGGTTTTGATTCATTTAGGCGACCAGGAGGACTGCAATCAAGGATCTGCAGCCCTCCGGGTTAAGTAAGTCCAGCCCGCTAAGCCTCCTTGATAGGATAGATAGAAAGATATTCTCTCATAGACTGACTTCGATCTTCATAATTCCTCCGATGCTTCCCTCTACCGGGTCATTGGGCCTCTTTGTTTCCTTGATTGCGTGCTGTACAACATCAGCTTTTTATCCCTGCATTGACCCATATTTATATCACTGGTTTTACAAATGAATGACTGAATGTCTTGCGGATGGACGCTTGCCGACATTCCTGGAAAGCGGGCACCTGTATATATTTTATTAGGCCAACTGTGGCACAAGTTTGAAGAGTGAATAGAAAATAAACCTCCGACACGACCAAAGGTGGCAAATGGTCTCTCTAATTGAGCGTGGGGATTGTTGTGTGGGAGTAGTCGGAGTGTCTCGTGAAAGCAGGTAGCCGAGGAATAGAGCTAATAGGCAGATCATTCGACTATCAAAAGAGAAGGAAAAGAAGAAGACAAACTGGGAGACGGCCCTTGTTCTCATTAAAAACCCATTTGTGGCTTCCTTGCTCACTTAACAAACAAATCATGATCTTATGGCCCCAAAGTAAGGTTATCATAAATTGCAGGATTGAATACCGATAAGATGTGAAATGAAAGGGGAATCTTTGCAGGTAGCAATGGCAGAGGGATGGTCATAGAGCTCGTATCAGAAGATTGCTTTAAGAAAAGAGTCATGCCTTTTTGTTGGGTTTTGTGTGTGTGTGTGTGTGTGTGTGTGTGTGTGTGTGTGTGTGTGTGTGTGTGTGCGTGTGTGCATGTGTGTGTTGCTTCTATCGTTCTAATATCACTGTATATAAGAACGATACTAAGAACTACATATAAATTCACTGCTGATCTCTCATGAAATAAATATATCTTCCGACTTGTATCTGTGCATCTAACAGTCATCTACCTCTGAATGCATCATGCTTGAAGTTTAAAGGTAATAGTGGTATGGCAGTATAAACTGAGTGAAATGAGCCAGATATGGTTGGAGAGGTTCAATTACATGCAATCACTGCAGCGCTGCGAGACTTAATCAATGTGCTTGTGTCTTGCTGGTTGCTGGCTGGTTGCTGGCTGGCTTGGTTTCCATGCCTTTCTTCTTCAATATCTCATCTGATTGAATTACAGCTGGGTGATGCTCAGTTGAGGAAACGAAGATGTGTGTTTTGTGCGCCTTTGTGTGCGTGTTTTTAAAACTGCGTCTCTGGGCGTACAAGTGAGGATGAATGTGTCTATTTGCATTCAGCATGTTTGTAGGAAGAACCCCCATGGCAGCAAAATGGAGTAAGTCATTGTGTCTGTGATTGATTGATTGCTTCTGAATGGTTATGTGTATGTTTCCATGGTTCCCTCTGTGTTTGTGAAGTGAATTTAGCTCTCCTTCAGGCAGGCATCAGGTCCCGACAATCTGAGTAGTTTGCTTTGGCCCATGTATCCTGAATTCACTTTTCAGCTGATTAGATAACGGTCCTCCGCTCTGGTCTCGAAGGAAGTTAATCATTAACCAATCAAACTTCACCACGTTAGCCCAATAGACCCATGACCGCATCACTTCCTTTTCGCTGTCTGCGGTTAGAGCTACGCGTCACATTAAACCTTGACTAGAAGCAGAAACAGAGACATGCAATAGCTTGTACTTGTCATTTTCTAAGACATTAGTTGCGTTTTGAATACAATTTTTCTACAATATTTGTAAACCAAGCAGGCTTGAGCATACATTTAAACTCTGTAGCAATACACAATGGACAGTTGAAAAAGAATTGTCAAAATCAAGATCCATACTTTTAGTCAATGTATTTCAAGCTTATTATGACATAATGATGCTCGGATAATGTATTTTAGCGTTTCTGGGAATGTGAAAAAATCCTCCTTCAACATTTTACAATCGTTGGGAATCGAAGACGGTGATGTTCCTTTGAGACGTCGGCCGTGGTAAAGCAATACTTGACTGTTTTTGTGTCAGTGGGAGCCTCCATTACAGACTTTGGTCTGATATCAAACAGCTAAAGTAGATGTTCACTGGCCCGGAGTCCTCCCACACACAGCTGCTCCCAAATAATCTGCTTGAGTGTGCGTATGTGTCATTTCATATGTATAGGCTTATCATCCTTTTTTATTACATGCTTATGTGGTTGTGTTTGGACAGGCACACAGTGGCACACAGTTCTACCGTTGTGTTTTTTTCCTGTGTGTTCAGGCTTGTACGTCTGATTTCTTGACACCGTATGCCTTTCCCTCTTTATCCGACGTACTTCGTTCTTGTCCAGCTGCTCTGTCATCCCGTTAAGACTCTTCCTCCCCAAGGAGGGGTCTGTCAGTATAGCTCTGTGTTCGCTAGACATCACAGTTTGCGCTCCATTGCTGAGTCAATTGAGACTCAAATATTTGTTACAGTGCTATGCTGATCCTCAGGACTTTTTTTTCAACCCTTTTTCCAGCACTACTAGAGGGAAGGTCAGAGGTCAAAGTAAGAGGGCGGAGCTAACAGAGCCCTGGTTGCCTTAAATTATCAAGAAGGCAGATGGTTGCTGTTTGAGAACCTCCAACCTAGGTCATCCAATATGACATTTTTTCTGTGCGTACTATGGAAACAAAAACATACTGGACATTTAGTTTTTTCTTGATAATCCCATTAAAGTAAACGTGTTTTGCTTGGGTTGAATAAATAGTGCACCATCTTCTTTTTTATCGAGGAGTTTGATGAGGAAATTGGTACTACTTGTTGGATATGTGTATGCTAAATATCAAAGTACCGCCAGCCGATAGATAGCTGAGCTCAGCACAAAGACTGGAATAAGGAAAAAACTCCTAGCCTCGCCCCCCCTTAAGGTAACCAAATCTGCCAGCAAGCCCTCTAATACTCACCAATCAACACATCAGATCATATTTCTTCTATTTTGTAGAAACAAAGAGAATGAAATCAATAAGTCAAGGTGTCTTCCTGGGGTCTTGTGCTAAGCTAAGATCCTGGCGGTAGCACACTGCCAAACACGATTTTTCTTCTCCTCTAAATCTATATCTATGAAATAAGTTTCAAAGTCATAATCGGCAAATGGCCTCATATGTACTATTGATATCTAGTCCCCCAAAAATATCAGCACTGTTTTTGCGTTTTTTCCTCAGAAACATTGACACTAGTGTTCTTGCGGTTGGGTTGTCGGTGTGGTGGTGAGCTGGTGACCTGGTTTTGGAATCAGCCTCTATCATTGTCGTTATGTAATCTTTGCACAATAATTCTTTTCTGCTTTGCCTTCGCTTGTCTGCAGAAGGCCCTGTGATTTGGAGGATGCTGACCTACCCCCCTACTCGGCGAGCCCTCCTGGTGGGCTGCAGTCTCCAGATGTTCCAGCAGCTGTCAGGAATCAACACAGTCATGTGAGTGAAGACATCCTCCAAAATGTTTGTCAGCTGTCTAGCAGTCTGAGATATTGTCCAGGTTGGGTCATGAAAATAGACCTTCAAAACTGTACAGAGTCGGCAGTAGCAATAAATATCCTATGACGAGTCAGTTATGAATTCTGCGGCTGTTAAATCTGTATTTATACCAAACCATGCTCATTTTAGTGTCCCTACACCAGTAAGTGAAGTCCAAGCACACGACACATCATCCTTTTGAAGTAAAGCTTTTGAAGTCACACCAGCAAGATAACTACATATGCGCAATGCAAATTGACCAATTAACCCAGACAAATAGACACTGATAGACCCAGACAGTGCAGTTGGAGGGGGTTGTTGCGCATTGGTCCAAGAATTATCTTGTATTTACTCATGTAGTTCAGGTCACTTATCTACATGAGAGGAAAACTCTAACAAGGCCTCTCTGTGACCTACTATGGAGTTCCGAATATCACTTGTTGTTATTTCATATAAATTACAAATACAAATGGATAGCAGAAGAAAATGCGAGCATTTTTTATTTTTTGCAAAAATGTAAAAAATCCATCAATCAATAAAACATAAAATATCCCCGTCTGTAAATATGCACCTATTTTCTAGTGGCACCACTAAAAAAATGATAATTGATATGGTAGATTGTTTCTATGATAACTTTCAAGGGTTGTTAAATCTTTTTAGCTTTGATGTTGTGTGATTTTTATCGATCATTTTCTCGGTGTGGCCCATGTTTTCATTTGTGCCTGAAAGTTTTATTTGGTTATGAAAAAGACTGAATTCAATACTTATGCCTCCGTATGACCTACATAAAACAATATGAGAATGTTGGCTATTTCAGTATAGTTATTAGTTAACATTAGTTACCATCCAAATGGTAGCTTTAAGCAACAACTTTGCATCTTGGTGTTTTTAATGCCGGGCTGTTTGGAAACTTAAACCCACATCGCTTTTTCAATTACCGGAGACTCTTTCTTTTTACTAGATCATTCTTTATTTTGAAAGAAAACAAGTTAACCAAACAAGGATGATAGATGAGGGAATCTCTGTGTCCAGCCGTCCATTTCAACAGACAAGCTATCTTTACAAATGTATTTGGATTAGCAGCACAGTATTGAATCATAAGAACACACGATACACCAGTAGCTTTGATGCAACGCGGCTCACCAGCCCCTAAAGGGACGCACCACCTTTCCTCGATCATTCTTTCTATCTTTCCATCCGAGGAGATTGTGTGATCTGTCACTGTCTCCTCTCCCCTTTGAGATGAACTATATTACTTGCTCTGTAAACAATCTGTAGATATGTTCTGTTGCTTAGCAACCGTGAGGGGTTGAGAGCAGTAGAATGAGTGCTTGCTTGTGCTGCCATGTTTGTGTGTGAGTCAGCGTGCACGGAACATGAGACTGTGGACTTTGGGGTCTGGGCATGTGCAGTTTTTGTGTGAATGTGTGTGTTGTATCGACCTTCGCGTATGTATGACAGTCACCTTGTGGTTAGCTCAGGTGACAAGGTGGATTGGTCGCAAATCTTTATAGATATGTTTCTGTCTCTCTTACTTTATATTTATCTTACAACAGTAAGAACAGCAGAGAGCTGTACAGACTGAGCATGGGTGTGGGCTTTATCAAGGACACTGGAGGAGGTTTGTGCAGATCTGGTTTTAAACTCCATCCAGGCTGCATTTACTCGGAAAGCCTTTCTGCTTTCTCTATCATCCGGAAGGTTGTATTTTTACCCGCTCACAGATGGGATTCACAAGAAAATAATAAATATGAATTTATCATTACATCACGGTAGCATTGCGAATAGCCAGAATCCAGATCAGAATGTGGATCATATTAGCTTTTGACTTCTATATACTTTGCCAGCCTGTTGTGGTGGAAGATTTTTTCACTCCATCGGGAATCAGTTATAAAGTGTCTTGTGAATCAAAGTTGTATTTTCCATTTATTTCTTACAAGGAAGAAGACGTCTAGAACAGCTACACATGGACAGACAGTGGCAAGCTTCTTAACGTTTGAGAGCAACAGAGCTATATTTATACATTCAGAGGGATAACACCTTGGTTTTGTTATGCTAAAGAAATGGAGACAGGCAACAAGGTCCCAGACCTGAGGGAATACCTCAAGATGCAGTTACAATGCACTTCTGATTAGATTTAGGAGCCTTCATGGACAGCTCTGCCCTGATCCTTCGTCTTCGACATTCACACATTCTTCTTCCTCCACGCAGCTATGTTATGCATTGACAGATGAGATCAAAGGTGAGAGGTTCCCACACACCTAGTGTTGTGAAACTTCCTCACAATTAAACTCATGATAAGCCTTAGACATTAATCTAATAAAACATAATTATGAAGGCATCATTATATTTGACCATTTACACTGTCTGTTTACCATTTGCCTTTTTGTAACCAGCTCTTTTAGCCGTGATACTTGGGGGTAAATCATTCGGGCTAGAGATAAACCCCGCTGTCCTTGGCGCCTGCTGCTTTTCAACAGTTAACAAAAAAGGGAATTTGTAAACTGGCAGACTGGCCAAAAAAACAGTCATAAAAATCTAACTTGCAAGCACATATTGTCTTTGGATCCACTCTAAGGTCTGTTCTCTCGGTACTATAGGAGTGGATTAATAGAGTTCACAGATTTCTTTGTTTTCTGTGAATCAAATATGCTCACAGAAGGGGAACTTTTAGTTCACATCTGCACATTGTTCCCTTTTTACAATCTGCAGCAAGGGAACAAAGGAAACTGAAGTAATTATCAAACTAACCCAACCAAGGTAATCGTGAAAAACACACAGGCCATTTGATATAGTTAGTTTACACGTTGCCCAAAGGTTTGCAGTGTCAGCACTCAGTCACTTGCTGCTCCTTAGAAATATATTTTTATCTGAATTGCTGTATGTCAAACACACAGGAAACTGAGAGTACTCCAGATATGTCACGGTGATCTCGCAGGAATTTGTTCAATTGAGCATTATTAAATCAAAACAGAAGTGAGTGACACAGCTGAGTGTGTCTCACTGTATTGTACGAGGCGCATGTTTGGGGCGACCTGAACACGGTGTTCCAATGAACATCAAAGTACTTCAAGCTTCCATTCATTTTATGTTATATGGCGGTTCCAAATTTGACCGAATTTTGGAAAAATATCGACATTTTTTATTTGATCCCGTTGGAATTGATTCCGTGAATTACACATTCAATTTCAGAATGTCTTCTGAATGTGAAGACATTGAATGTGAACAAAGAATCTGAATGTTTTCAGAATGTTTTTCATGGATTAGTCATGATAACAGTTAGTTTATTGTTAAACCAATCATTGTTTTGCACATTATAATAAGGGCAGAGGAAATCCAGGGTTCTGATTGGTTGAGAGTGAGTCACAGGGTGTGCATTATTCAGCAGTAATGTACCTTTTCTGTTCACATTGACCCGAGCGTTCCAGATCACTGCGCATTCAAAGTAATAAAGTAATAGTAAGTAAGATAGATTTTGCGCGACCGACATTTCAGTTTTTAGCTCAGTGGCGATCGCCAAAATAAGACCGGAATTCCCACAAATGATCGGTTTCAGGCAATGCAAGGCTGCAACTATGTTGTGCTGAAAGGCAGCTATTTACTTTTACTATTTATAATGTCGCTGGTAACCGTATTATAAAAGCAATAAGGTACTTGAGGCAGTACTTTATCTTCAATAATTTGCAGGCTTGCTGCTAACAACGCCCCCGAACTGTTACATTATTGGACGATAAAGTACAACCGTATTGCTAAAATGTAGGTCACCAACACGGCGGTTGCGTTCTTTGCCAGGAAGCCAAAGAACAAGCAAGAGCTGTTGCTCGTTTGAGTACATCCTGGTACGAACTACACTGGCAGAGTAGCTTCAGAGAGACAAACCTATGTGGTCTCTTATGCAACTTTTGGGTCTGTAGACTTCCTAATTAATGTTCAGTCTAAAACATTAAAAAGGAGCTGTTCACCGCTCGCCGTTGTGTGTTAGCTTGTTAGCGTGCTGGCATGTTGGCTTCTTGTGGCTGCTAGTGTTGCCACCAGAGAAAATGCCAGTGGCTCAACCAACTTTGCAATATATCGTTTTCTGATCTAACTTACGTTACATTTCAAAACCAAAAACCCTCCAAACAGACACAGCTCCTCTGTTTTGCACAAGTTGTGTTGGTGCATCGCTGGTCTCCAGTATCGCTCTTTTTTGTGTTTTCATCTAGCATCTTACTACTTGTTGCGAGCTGTACCCAGCAGGCAGTTCGGCGGGGTAATTTTTTATAAATGTACAATTATTAGTGTCACAAATTCTTTATGTGTCACAAGCTGTTGCGTCATGGTGTTTTACCCTGTTTAAGAGTGTTTGTTGTGGGTTATTCATTGTTATAAAGATATAACCATGACTCAATCTCAACACACGAAAGACAAGTAGCTCCAACCACTGCTCCGAGATGACGTGTAAACATCTTTAATATCACAAGTACATTAAAACGTAAAATGTAGTGACCTTTTTTTTCTTTCTTGCAAACAAAGTCATCGTCTTTTTATTGTTTGTCTTTCGAAGTTCAGACGTGCTTTTAATTGGGTGCCTGAAGAAAGACACAGGTTACAGAAGCTGGCAGACTGTCAGAAGGAGGCAATTGTGACAGAGAGTGAAAACACCGTTTTCACGCGAGAGGTATGAATCCACTCGGGCTCCACATGGTGTCCCTACTAAGATCACTTCTTTCCTCTTTCCCCAACAACGAGTTGATCAAGTCACTTGTTTACACAATTAACAACACACTCCCTCAAAGATGGCGGGGGGGAGGATTATTGATTGTTCAGCCGTATACTGGTGCAAATCTACATCACATACTTGCATGCAAATAAGTTTCCTCAGTGTGAATATTTATTCAAACCCTCGGTTCAGCAGCCAGTCAAACAATCAACATGTTGGTGAAATATCCATTTGGAATCACCACTTTTAGACGATGGTG